GTCTGGGATTAAGAGAGAAAGAGAGAAGGAGAGAAAGCTCGGCGAGTAGCTACGCGTCGTTAATTGCGCGACGAACACTCTCCTTTGACCTGGCTGCTGGTGATCGACCGGTGAAAATGAGAGAAACGATCGAATTTTTGCGAAGAGTTGCGGCGTATCGTGTGCGTGTACGCCGGATGACGTGCAATCATTCCGCCGTCTCGACGATTTTTCATTTACCGCAAGTTCGACCACGCCGTAACGGATTCTCGCTAACGAAGACGGCTCGTTCCCATTAATTGGAATTAAGAAGTGCGCAGGTTATACGCTGGGAAACCTTCCTCGAACGCTCGATCTTAATTTTTTAACGATAGATCCTTTGACCTACCCCGAGTCCATTTTTCCTCGTTCGAAATGTCGAGGTTCCCGATAACTTCGGGGAATTGGCTATAGGCTGAAAAATGTGGCACTTTGCGCGAATAAAAATTTACATTCGCGAGAATTTATCACGCTATAACGCAGCTCTGTTAATTGACCTCCTTGCTCTCTAAAGTGCATCTCGTTGTATTATTACCGAGAAGTAGATAACAGTCATTGTACGGCAAAAGGAATGCGATCATGGGAAAAAATCGATTTATCGACTCGCATGATGCAACAGCGGCTGAACGGTTCATCCATTACGCAGAAAGACGTCTGGGTATTTTACGTTTGTAAATTGTGGCGCCGGCAAGTATTTCGCGCCCCGGCTATATTGCAGTCGTGCGCGAGAGAAAGAGACGGCGCCGTTATTTGCATAGAATTCTGCGTTCTTTCTCCGAAGAGCGGTGTATTTCGCGAAAAACACCGCCGACTGGGGCGTCGTAAAATGAGAAAACAGAATGAGAAACCGTTCTACGCTTTCAGGCGGCTAAATGACGACTCCGTCGTAAGGAGGGGTCGTCATTAATGAAGTAAGAGCCTTTCATCCCTCGGGGCGCTCGCTCACTCGCCGCGTGGGGCTTTTAATTAAATTCGTTCCTTGCCCGGCGGTATGCTTAAACAGCTTGCGAATACAAAGTTCGTATTTCGGATTACAAACACTGCACGGGCACTCACTCGCCGATGAGTCGAAGCTAAAAACGGAGTCCGCGAAACCCCACCGCGTCGAAATGAACGACGACGAATTTGCACGGCTGCGAACTCAAGAACCGGCGCCTTTCTTCTCGATGAGATTTTAAGCAGTCTCGACGGTGATTCTTTCGCGTTTTTATTTATCCGCGTTATCCGCGCGTCTCGCTGCCTGTCTCGGCGACGAGACGAGACGGGACGAGAATATTCAAATACCCGGAAACTCGTGCGCGGTGCACCGAGAATGCAGCGCCGAAGGGACGCGTTACGTCGCGACGCGCCGTCTCGTGTCCTCTGGATGCTCTCTTTCGGTGTCGGAAGAGGGAGGCACCCTTTCACCCGTTAAATTACAAAATATCCCACGGGAAATTCTTCAGCCCGTGCGCCGTGCGGAAGTTCGGGCGTCTTCCCCGCAACGGTGCGCGGGGCGAACGCCGGCGCGTTGCGAACAACGAAGATAGATGACGGCGGACTTCGGCTGCCTGTTCCGCATCTTCTTATCAGGCGCATAAATCAACGATTCCACTCTGCCGCATCTCACCGCCACCCCCCTTTTTTCCCTCGCTTTTCTCTTTTTCGCCTCCGCGAGCGAACGCGGGCGCTTCTCGTCTGCTTGTCGATGCACGCTCGATCTACCTTCGCCGAGACGACGACGAGCTTCCTGGCGCGCGGCTCCGGACGGTCATCGTGTTTTGGATTAGCGTCCCGACCACGAGTACACACGTTAACGACTTAACTTCCCGCTGATAATCGACGCGACGGTTTAACGGCCCGGGCAATTCGTTCCGCATCGCGAAGTCGGGAATGTTACGCTGTCGATGTAAAGTGAAACAAGTTATCGAATGTAAACGCCAAAGAAGCGAATCATTTTGAAGAAAAGTATTTTAATATTCTGACTTTTGGACACGTCGAAAGAAAGCTGTACTTGTTATTTCTCCTTTTTAATCGCATTTTATATTCACTGGAAATTAATACTTTGTAGTTTCCTATCGCGAAAATCGAGTTTCGCTAATTAATCCTTATCTCGTAAAGTGACAACCGTTCGTTTATCAGAAGCACGCCAGTCTTAACTTTTCAAAAGAGCTTTACTTGAAGTCTAGAAGCGGAGATATCGATGTTTGTATCGAATCGCGCTCTCAGTCGGTCCGGCGTTCGCTATTGCGACGGACGCAAGGGACGAAAGTTAGAAGGACGTTTTTACTTCAACGTTAAATAACTGGGTGAAAAAAGAGAAATCGCACCGCGCACGTAAATTCATGCCGTATAAGTGAACAAACTTGAATAAAAACTTCAACTAGTTTATGCGTCACTTTAGGTTTGCATATCTTGGAAAAGTAGATGTGACGTCAAATTTGACCGTAAGCGTAGGTAATTAGGATTTCAACAGAGTTTTGAAACTCTATAAATATATTTTGTATATATGGATATAAAGGGTTTGTCATTTTTATACGGTAAATAATGCCGAGAGAATCGGACGAAGTTAAAAATTTGTCTCGCAGAATGCATCTGCCGTTTCAATCTAACGGAGAACACGATGGACCCGCGCTGCAAAATAGCAGCGCCCGCGGCAAAAAGTTTTTCCGTGCAGCCGTGACGGATGATTAACGATACCTCGTAAACGCATTGCTTGAATGCCACGAAATTTTTATCACTCGCCGTGGGAGCTGTGGCGGAAAGAGTGCCCGTTTCTTCCGCCGTCGGAGTGCGCATCTTCATTAAATGCGTTCCCCCTCGACGGCGACTATTAAAATGCCACTTGATCTTGCGGCACGCCGCGAAATTTAACGAACGTCGCGTTTTTCACAGCGGCGCGGATGAAGTGCGCGCGACACTCGTCAGATTCTTCAACGCGCATATACAGTATATATGCACGGAGATAAAACGCGTGCGCCGAGTGCGTAAAATTCTTTCAACGGTGGAAGCGCGCTGCAACAGGGCTCATCGCGGGTTTCCGTCGCGGCTTTTCCTATTATTCCCCATTTTCGGCGCGTCGAATCTGCAAATGACTGATTATTCGATACGTTTATGTCGAGCATCTCTCGAGATAATGCCGGGTCACCGCGCGGCAACGCAACGCGCGTGAATAACGCACTTATAAACACAGACGAGTGAGATCCGCGCGAACTCCCGTGACAGCGAGATATTCATAGCGGCAAAGAACTTTATTTACGCTGAAGTCTGATATTTAATTAACATTTTCTTGCATAATGCCAATCAGATCTGCGCGCAAGCGGGAATTAAACCTCTTTGGGCGTCGCTAATTTAAATTCCCCTCGCGCGCGGATTGTTGCCTCTGCGAAAATAATTTAATGCATCGTTCCATTTCTATAACATTTCGCTCCGTCGTTTCAGGCAATTTACCTGCCTCCTTGTGCCTTTCAAACTGATCGCCTTTCGATTCCTTTCAGTTTGAAAAAAATTCATTTGTAAGCTCCCCCTCGATATTTTCTGTCGCGTTGCGAGAAATTCATCCTTTCATTGAGAAAACAGAAGTTGTAATTTCCGAGTTCTGATGCAACAGCTCAGTTAATAGTAGCAAATGCGTCAATTTTAGATTCACGCATTTTATTGCATATTTATTTATTTTAACTCTACACCTTCAACGGGATTTTAGAATCCAAAAACAAAATAATATTTTAGTCTCGACACTTTTCTTCTATATATATATACTTTTTTTTTCTTCTTTTTAATATAAATATAACATTCTTTATATTTGATCTCGTAACACTTCATATTACTCGCGGCGGAACCAACGGGGAATCAGTGCCGAAGCTTTTTCTCTTTCAATTTGCGCAACAAGTCCGCGATGTAACATTTCCGCTGTTTCTATCAGAACGTCTCACGGGCGACACGGGTTTTGAGTGATCACCTAACCGAGAAGGTTCGTCCCGGCCGTCGCGTTCGAGATGAATCCCCAGGATTCGTTACGCTCTTCCGATTCCCAACCTCCGGCCGATTTATCCCCCTCGGCCGGCGCTCCCGCGGGGGCTCTCGCAAATTACCCGAATCCGCCCGCCGACCCGCTGACTTTCCTCGCGCAACAGATTTCAATTATTTCCGGCGAAAAGCAGTTTGTAGTTGCGCCCGCAGTTCGCGAATCGACGAGTGCCGGGCCGAAGACCGCGCGGAAATTGTTGTCGGAGTTCGCTTTACACGCAATTACCGAAAGCGAGTCCGCCCTTTGTGGACTCACCCCGCAGCTCGTGTTATCGAAACATCGTTCGTACGTCGGACGCGATCGGTCGCTATTAGCACACCCGCCGCGAGATATTTGCTCGTGTTAATGTCGCGGAACACAGCTTGCACGGTAAAAATGTCACGCCGCTTCTATTATTACCGCGCGCGAATTAAACGCGAACCAGCCGGGGCCGGCTATTAACCGGATGTACTTAGTCATAGACGCAGTTATTGTTCCAAGGGCTTATTTTGAGAATAATACTCCCCCCTCTCTTTCTCTCACAGCAGCTATCGCGGCAAATGAACGACGGCTCGTTACGGCTGCTCCCAAAATACCATTATGGCCTTCGTTAATCCCTCGCACCCGTTTAGCGGATTAAAATTATTTCGTCGAATGTCTCGTGACCTCACCGAGGACAGTGACGAGCGACCTTTTACCTCGAGAGAAGCGCGGATCGATCATCGAATTAATCCGACCGCGAGAGAAGAGAGCGGAGAGAATCGTCCGATTCTCTCCCTCTTTTTCTTTCCTTTCTTCATCGCGGCCTTCTCCGGTCGCGCAAATATTTGTGCGACGAAATTGCAACAGGAGGAGGCGCTATTTAAATTGCAGATGAAACGCCGGTGGGTGGGAGACCGCGCGATTAGAGTTATTAAATTTGAGTGGTTAATTAAGCGAATGCGTCGCGCGTCGCACGCCTTTATGCGCCTTTTCGGATGTGCGATAGAGCCGTTGATGAGCCGCGCGAATGCAAATTTCCGAGGGGAGCAATCCGGATTTCGATGCCGGTCCTTATTGACTTTTTGCGCGTTCTCGTATTGCTCGTAAACTCGCGGTAAATCAATCGCGGAAGTGTTGCTAAAAAGCACAGGATATCCCGACGCGGCGTGTCGAATCGTGCCGCTGTACTTCGTTAGCGTCGAACCCGCGCTGTTTTCCAGGTATGTCGATCAAATAATAACTTTGATTAAAAATACACGGCCGCGTTTCTTGCAATCGCGTTGATACGTGCGGTTTATCGATGCGCTTGTCGTCTTTCAGCGGCCGGACAGTCGGAGATTCCTCGGACGATGACGGGATACAATAAGTGTTTTCTTCCACGATGACGCGCCGCCGGATTGGTGTCTCATTATTTAGCACGGAAATCGTGCAACGTGCGCATCAGCATTTATTGACACAGAGACGCGCACCAGATAGAAAATCACAAACGGCGGAAGTGATTTTTTATCCGTCGTACGTGCAGAGCGCAATTGTGTTTCGCCACTCGTTCGCCGAAGAAGGAGGAAATGCGTTATTGGAAAGCTGCCACGTGATGGAAACTTTGTTGGAAGCATCATTTAATATATGTCCTTCTTGACGCACACATATTATATATATATATCCCCCTTTCTCAAGAATACGTCGGGGAAGGATGTGTAACAGCTGCGATAATTCCGTTTAGTTTCGGCGTGACGAGCGAAGTTTCACGGCGGCTCAATAGAGACCCGGCGGATATAGCGCCAATTACGTAATCCTCCAAATTAGCGGGTGACCATTTAAATTGACACACATTTAATCCTACGTAGTAGAATATGTCTCAAGGCAAAGAGGTGTCAACCGAGTCGAACTTGGCGAATCTTCGTACGCGCGGGTCGGAATTACGCGGCGATATCGAGGCAAATTTGTCCGCGCTCTATCCGCTTACGTCGCGCCGAATGCAAAATGCATATTAAAGGATCGCGCAAAGTGTCTAATTTGAAGCGTGCGCTGTTTCGAGGGACCTATGAATCGCTCGGAGGACGACGTTTCTTGCGCTGGTCGCGAGAGAGAGGAAGGGAAGGGAGAGAAACGGGCGGGTGATCCGGGGCGTAATAATTCTGTTCTTATCGTCGGGCGGTCCGTATTGCGCGGACAAGCTGTTAGAATTTAATATTATATTCGCGATTTAAGAGCGGGTGTGTCGCGGTCGATACGCTTTCACCCCGGATCGTCGATATGAATGCATCGTGTTGAAGTTCGAGCGCGATCACTCGCGAGCGTTTCGGGCGCGAGTGACGCCCGGAGTTATCCATATTATTTGCACCTCCCGACGCGATTCGATTATCTTTAATAGCGCTAAACTTATGGAAATGTGTCTTTGAATATGCATTGTAGCTCGCATACCTAATTGAGCCGTGGAGCTCGAGTGGAATTTCATTAAACAAACTATCATCCGCACATACCCCTCTAATTAACATCGGATTCTAGCAACAGTGATTGCGGTAACGGTAGTGACGATATCGCCGGTGAACACCACGAAAATTCGAGGGACTTCCGCGAGAGGGAAATGACTTCTTTAAATAAGGGCTGGAGCGTCTCGAGCGCGGAAGTCGAGCCGCCCTCTCAACGTTGGGATTTCGCGTTACAAAGCCCCGACTGTACGCGCTTACATTTCAACTTATTCGTATATAGCGCGCGGCGGAAGTTCAAAGGAAGTTTGGCGCACACACCAGGCGTTGCCACCCTTCTTGTCTCTCCCGGCCCTGCAGATTTGTGTTACAAGCAGCGTTGCGAAGGGTTCCTCCGAAGTCTCGCGGAATCTTGCACGGAGATCATATGAGAAAGCGCGGCACGACGCATGCTTCTCTCTCTCTCTCTCTCTCTCTTCGGCGGAGTGATTTCACGTCGTAATAGTGAGCGCGCAATGCCTCGGGAGCCAGATAGCAACCGAACGCAATACGAGCGTACCTTATTCAGTTGTAGAGAGTGCACGACATGTTGGTAGACCGCGCGGATGTATGTACGCGCGCGCTGCAACGCTATCGATAGCTCGGAGCTAGAACAGCTAATATTCGCTCGCGTTGGATGTAGACGAAAGAAAATGATGTATGCACGGAGGCTTTATTCCGCAGTTGTGGAAGTGCTGTAACGTGTTATTAGACTGCGCGATATTCCAAAAGTTTCGATAGCTCGAAGCTGTGGAGGAGCAGCCAATATCGTTTGCCTCCTCCACGGGAAGCGGGAGAGAGTGGCGTGCGCGCGCGAAGCGTGCCGGAAAATCTATGCATAATAATGGTAAGACGATATTCCTTATCGGACTTTGCAACTCCGGATAAAATAATTGGAAATGAAATTTTGCCCTGTTAAAATATCGAAACCACGGCGCTCGGCCGATCGATCGCGTTATTTTATATATTTCGCTCGCTGCGAAAAATCGAGCAGCCGCCTCCCGCACGAATCAAACTCCGGCGGAATAAAATCAGTAACGGATAAGCCTCCATTACCGATTTATGTTCGAGTGAGTGCTGCATTAACGGAACGTCGATTTTTGCGCTTATTTACGGAGATGGCGAATCCACGAAGAGAGACTTGCCGCGAAAGAACAGAGCGTAATCAAACTTTCGCTAAAAGTCGGCCGAAGTTAACGCCGCGGATTCGGAAACGTGTTTTATCGTCAACCGCCGAGTTCCGGGAGATCGTACATGTACCGAACTCGCGTTAACTTCCGACATTCATTCCAATTTTCAACAGCCTTAAATTCCCATTACTGTCTCCTCGCACAGCCGATAATACGGTAACAAAGACCGCGACGCTCGCCGTAAATCTACGCCTATATAATTAATATATGCGCCCCTTCTCTCCCCCGCGGCAAGTTCGTGCCTAGCTGATGTACACACACACACACATCCCACACGCTCTTCGGCAACGAGATCGTCTTCGCAACAAAGCAGAAATTGATCGTCGATTACAACGATTATATTGATTCCGGGCGACATGTGCACGCTTTGTGCGTTAATTGCGGATTAATCAGTCGACGATCAACGAGCTGCTCTCGGTCGTTGCGGCGGGAATTGTCGTTTAGCTCCTTTTAACAAGACCAGGTTGTGTGAGGTCGCTAAACGCGATCGCCGCGCGTGCGTAACCAACAAAGCAAAGAGGAACGCTCGTAGCTCTCGCTCTCTAATTATGACACGTTACCTGCGTCGGACCATCAATCACACGTTAATTGGCTCCAATTGACCGACACGCGGCGGACGGATTCTAAAACGGGAAGTTCGGCTGAAGTAGAACAGTTTTCGGCCGCGCCCGGCGAAAAACGACGCGTCGCACCGACGATCGGATGAATTTTTATCGACTGACAGTCGGTATCGAGAATCGTTATGTATCGCTTTTGCGCGCATACGAGAGATCGTCCTTTGGCAACGCGTAGCGGCCCAGTGTCGGTATGAAGTTCGCGCGAGTTGATTGACGTAACTCCGACAGCGCTCTGTGCATACTTCGTATTAATTATACAGGCGGTAACAATTTCAATTTATCTTTGGACGCGACACCAGTCCATCCGCGGTCGCGTCGCATTCGTTACCGCCGCGCATTCCGCGGTACACGGCCCCGTGGGTAAAAAATACACGGGGGCTTAATAAATTGCGACGAATCAGACCGGTTTGCGTTCGCGAATTAGTGACGCGCGTAAAAAATCTCACGCGCATCAAGCAGCTGGATATCCGTAATATCGCGTCGCGAAACGCAGGCATTATATTTCCGATTTATTCGGGAGCCGTTATTTAAACATTACACACGCAGGATTTATTCGCGTCGTGCGAATTGAAAATATGTCGTATCGCGCGCGCGCGCGCGGGTGTCGTTAATCTTATATAATTTTGCGTATCATATTTTTCGCGTTATTACGAATTACGTTCTCGTTGCGTCCGACTCTGTACGCGAATGCGTGACGATGCCGTAAAAGCTTTCTATCTCTCCCCGCAGGCGCCGGGGAAAAATACGAGACGCAAGCAACCCCGAGTGACATCAGACAGAGAGAGGTATATAAAAACTCGCGAAAAGAAAAATATCGTTCAGAAGACAGCGGAGACCGCAAAAATCCATTTGTTGATGAATCCAAACAAATAACGACGCAGCTAACGAGACACGGGAGTATCTGTACGTCCGCCGCGGGGCCAGAAAAAAGACTCGAGCCGCGCGGGTAAAGCCACCTGCAATTTGATGGAAGTGCCCATTCTCGGTCGTAGAAAGGCCAGCCTGTGTAAACAGCGCGCGAGAATGGATCTCGCCCGAGCCGACGGGAGAGCGTGAGAGAACGCCGATAAAAAAGCAACCGCGAAAATAACCCGCAGGCAAATCGAAGCCTCCCCACGCGGACTTACATACGCCGAGACATGCGTGATTTTCGACTCTCGCGGCGCGAAATAATAATAAAAGCCAGTAATGCCCTCGTACACCCCGGCCGGCGAAAATGGAAGGGGAGAATCGTTGGGCGAGTAATTACGTGCCGCATAGACGGGGACGAAATTCCCGGTAATGAGAAATTCTCGTTTTCCTCGGCGCGGAAACGACGGCTGTTTATTTTTATAAGTGAGCGGAGCGGCTCGAGAGAGAGAGGGAGGAGGAGGGGAGGATGAAGAACGAAAGAACGAGGGAGCGAGAGATGGAGAGAGGGAAAGAGGAAGGGAAGTCGATAGAAAATTAGGCGCGTTCACGCCCGACTAGACGCGACGAACAACGCGATCTTCTTTTTGCTTTCTCTTGCCGTCCGTTTTGTTTCTTCCCCTTTGTCACCCTTTTTCTGATACTTTTCAGATACGACAATTTTACGCGTCGAACGATGGCGCTTTCGCTCGCGATTTACCTTACCTATCGGGGAATATCGTCAAGCGCAACTGCGGTCGAGAACAAGAGACCAATTTTGCGCCCGTTTCCTCTTGAAACCAAAAAATAATAATAAAGTGATTTTTTTCCCGGGTCCAGGTAAAACCTGCTTTTTCGCCGGTAAAACTAGTTTCGAAAATACGTACATGACTGACCGTTTGTACCTGTATTTTGGTGATAGAGAACACAAATGTCGTATCGATCAGGCAACGGGATTACATTAAAGCGAAATATAAAGCGCTACATGTCGACTAGCTACCAATAACCTGAAGCGTCTAAAATAATGATATTTTCTCCTCGGGGAAGGTTTAAATCGATGTTCCCCCTCCACTTTTGGCAATCGGGAAAAAATATTTTCCTTTCAAGGAGACGGCGGAGAGAAAAATTGTTCGTCTCTCAAGAAGAACAAATTCGTGCCCCACTTCCTTCAGTTTTCACTGTGTAACCAATGAGACTGCGATCATCACGGATGACCGATTTCGCCGGTGGATAGATCGTTCTCCGCTGATGTTAATCGAAAGTTCCACAAAAGCAGGACGCGTCTACGCAAGCGAGCCAGAAACACAATT